TCGCCGAGTAAGCCTAGAAGTAAGACACGACGCTCGCGTCTTTATACCTCGGGTGCCCTTCTCATCTCGGAGCAAGCGATGCGGCAAAACCACTAGCTGCGTTGCTCAAAGCGTGAGTTTCCTTCAGAACAGGTAACGATGGCATAAACCTAGTCCATCTTTTGCGCAAGCGAAGGGATCCAAAGCCTGTGGCGGGATGACCAAATACCATACCCGCAATTCCGCAACGGCTACATATACCATGTGCTACTCGATGTAAACGTCAGCGTCCCATTCCGTCCACGTGCATACGAGCTCTAGGGACTGCTCGGTCCTCGGAGGGGGCGGTAGCTCAGCGAGCAAGCCCGCTTAAACCGTTCACGCCTCAAGGCAAGCTGGACAACTACAAGCCACCTAAATGTCTACCGCCTCATCCCCGGCCAGGTCATGACGCGACATAACTTATTAAAAGTCTTGCTGTCACTGCCACGACCGGCCAGAGTGAAGTCGAGAAATTATCCTATAAAACATTTCGTAGCTTTCTCGGAACGACCCCCCTCAAGGGAGAGTCGTCCCTCTGCCCTTCGTCGGTTGTTGGAGTGACGCGAAACAACTAGCCGTCTTGGCCCAGCGGTTACAAATCATACTGCTCCTTAACTCGCCTGCCAGCTTTCCCGGTGTCAACTGCAATTTACGCCAGTTTACCCAACACCCGCTGACAATCTCGACCGCCAGTGTTCCCGGTGTCGACTGCAATTCCCGCAATCTTTCCGACACCCACTGACAAAACCCCATCTGCACCCCGGGCCTCGACAAGCGCTTGCTTGCCTACCGCATCACTCCAAGCCTAAATCCTAAATATGGAATAAGTCCCGGCTGTGTTCCCTCCTGCCAGTCGCTATCCTGCCTTCCAGCGAACATGCCGTGGCTCTCCTCTGCCTCCGAAGACGACTTTCTTACATCTTAACCGCGCTCCTCGTGTTCCCCCCGGTTGGGTCACCTCCTGCCAACCACTATTCTGGGGTACCCGAGAACGCGCGTCCGCAACCTCGTCCTTCGAGACCTTTAAGTACTCGATTCGAGGAGACACCTGCTGAGCTCTGCTTTGAGACAAGTCACCATAATTCCAACATACTTTGTCTCAACGGGCATCGTTAGCGTTAGTGAACAACCCGCTCAACGAATCCATGGGACTCTCTGGGGACGACTAGAAGCAGAGGCGTACCGAACGGGCCCCACGTTGGGCGCCATTTTAATGTGGGGTTTCTTTACGGGGGAGGTCCCTCTATACTAATAATCGCCGCCCGATCGGTATACCTTCCGCCCGTCACCCAGGGAGTTACACACTGCAACGAGAAGACAGCGAATGGGTTTACTGTACCTCTCGATTGCCCGTCGTCGAGAGCCGGTAGTCCAGGCCCGCCGACCTTTGTTGTCGCCCGTCGATCAGAGCTCACAGTCGGGGTCCGTGTCCAGGCCTGCGGATCGCCTTTCCCACGCCAGCGCTGCGTAGGCTGGCTGTCCCGGGCTATCAATGCCCGAGTCTCGCTGCGGAACCACCCCGGGATCGTCATAGCCCAGGTCATATGGCCCGGGCTCGCCGTTTCCACCGGTCTTGCTCCAGACCTCGCTGGTAAACCGCTCCGGGGTTCGTTATGGGCCAGGCTAGGCAGCCCCGGCTCCGTCCTTCTTTGTCCAGATTCCAGCCTCGCTCAGCTCGCAATGTCTCGTGCCAGCTCGTGTCTTCTCCGCCGGCCGCCTGTCACGTGCTCTCTGCCTCGTCCTTCAATCTCGGCTCCCACAAATATAATGTAGTATAGGGCTGTATGCTACATATCAAACAATGCACTGTACTGGGGTGCCTTCATGTGCGTTTCACTCAGGGTGATAACTACGGTGCCTCGATGTCCTTCTGTTTAGGGTGATGCCACCCTTTCTAGTACCCGATGCACGCGCTCACGGGGAAAATACAAAGAAATTGACGAAAACACAATGTCGCCATAACACAGTCAGCGCCAACGTTGGTCAGCGCCACTAACGCGTGCAGGGACACGCTCTTTCACGCGCTTCTGAACAAACAAGAAAAATAAAAGCGTGGGACAAAATGGCGAGATGTACTAGAACACTTCGGTAGTGTTGGGACCGGAGCGGCTCATTGACAGTTCGTGGCGGCGCTGTAGTCGAGTTATCCGGAAAAAATCGCGCAGCCCGCCTTTTTTTTTTTTTTCACTTTTTCACGTTTCACCTTATGTTGTACCGCAGCGAAGGCTAGAAGCGCCAACTCATAGCGCTGGCAGCTGCCCTTGGTGCACGAGAGCTTGTGCCGCCGAAATGTGCAAGGAGCTCGCGCATGTAGCCTTTCCTGCGGTAAGACACTTCACACAGGCGCCAGAATACAGCCGCCATTGCTGACCTTCTCTTGTTTTACCGAGATACCGAGCCACTGAAATTGGTGAGGACGAGCTTCCACAAAAGCCAATGCTGGGGAGAAAGACAGAATGAAATCTAAGATGGCAATAACCTGGCCTAGCTGCTATGGTAATAATGAAGTGAAGTAAACGTAATAAGAGGAAACAAAAACTGAAGGTCAGTTATGGCGGTGCCCATGCACAGCTGCTACAAAGCGCCTTATGAAAATATCGGTAATTTCAAATTTTTTTTAATATTTGCGGTAGGCAAAGGGTGAATAAACAAGTTAACTAACAGATTTTGGTTAATTAATAAACATTGCAACGGTTATTCGCCCATTTATTGTCCACCGAGCCCTACAGATATAACGAAAGACGGCATCCACATATCTGCCACATTCTTTTTTTGTAAAATATGTGAAGTTCTCCAAAGAAGAAAACAAAAACACCCTCTATGTCTGCGTGAACCAGATATACGTCCCCTGTGGAACCATGGGTGTTTCCCTTCGAATACCCAGCTCAGGCGAGACTTACCTGGTTGTCAGAAAGCAGCTCTTGGTTAAATGTATTGTTATGAGCGTGTGGGTTTCAGATGGTTTACGCTCACGAGGAAAATGCGCTGCATATTGTAACCATGTATGCGCTGCACATTGTAACCATTATTTCAATGTCGTGCTGTAAACTATTACAACCTTTTCCTTGCCTGATCTACGTGTGCTCATGTTTTCTGCTCAAAATGATGTAAAATAGTTGCTTGTTTTCTTTGAATATTATAAAGCATTACCTTTCAGCCCACGTTGTCTCAGTTTTTGAACTTAAGTTCACTATTAAAACGCGTGATTAAAATTGTCACGGCTTATAAGCCATTTCTTACAAGTAAACGTAGGGTGGCCCTCGGATGGTCCCGGCAGCCACGAAGAAATAAAAGATTCTCACCCCTTTCCGACCGTCGCTTGGGTGGTTCGTCGCATAAATGAACACAAGAATGAGTGACAAGTGAAGCGAGCTGATTAAGGTCAAGAAAAAGAAGACGGACAGAAAAGAAGACAGAGAAGTTAACCTGGGGTATTAAAAACATACTAAAACAATCTCGGACTTTAGTATGTGCCGTTTCGTTCCATTAAAAATAAGATAGGAAAAAAAGTGTTAGCCCTTTCAAATATCTAATGTTCGGCCTTTGCGACAAAGGAAATGGGCATTTCATTTAAAATACTCACCATCCGACAAACCGTAATTCGCGGCTAATTCTACGCTGAAACAACTTGCAATCCGCTTCTTTAAAGTGGCAATTGTTTTTACGTAAAGGTAGGGTAATGTAGCTTGTACCGTCCAATACATTGAAGCATCATGTTGCTAACGATCGTGCCGCAGCGTAATTGATGCCGCGGTACGACCACTGGCAGGTCGTCGCTGTATCGGAAATCCTATGTGAACTCCACCAAAGCGGCACCAAAGATTCATATTTTCGCGCGTGCAGCCGCGCATGCGCACACCTTCTGGATAACGCGCCGGTGTCGACACCTGTCGCGATCAATACCACGCGCTTCAGGCGAGGCCCTGTTCTACCCAAGTATTCTAGTACACTTTACCCTAAGGAAAGTAAAGCCCCTCTATCCTGGGAACAGTGGCGCCATTCATTGTTGTGGAAATGCTCGAGACACGTGCCGCGCGCCAGTTCTGCGAAAAACATGGCGTCCGAAATCCAGGTCAGTGCCGAGCTGTGCCGCCATGATCTTGCCAACGGTTGCAGGTTGCACGTGCCTCGTGCATCGACGCATTTTGCTCTACTTTTAAAACATGAATGGGCTCTAGAGCAAAGCGCACATGAAGGCACCATAACATTCTTCGTAGCACCGGACGCCGACTCCGCGCGCTTTTGAAAAAAAAAAAAAAAAATTGCCGGTAGCAAAATGCCTCAGTATCACTGTCGATGCCGAGCCCGTGCCGCGAGACGCCCTTGCTCACGCTCAGAAACAACACATAAAACACAATTTTTAAAAAAAGTCGGGAACAAATGCTTAAATGTCTTCACACTAAGCAAAACGCACACGATTGCACCGTAGAGTATAATACGTATCGCATCGGACATTATGTACACCGCATAAAATGTATAATATTCCAAATTCCGACCGAGGCCCATTTAAGCAAGAATGTTTGTGGGAAAGATCAATGTGCGCGATGTCCACTCGTATGTGCATACAAACGCTCCCCTTGCACTGCAATAAAACGGCGTCGACAACGAACAGTTCCCGGTGCTCCAGCCGCGGCCTGCCGCTCCGGCAATGCGCGGCAGTGCGGTCCCCAACAGGCAACGGAAACGCCTGACACGTACTACGAGAGAAACCGGCGTCCGACGTGCTGCGCTCTCGCTCACTGGAGGCGGCCCTCAACCCGGCACACAGATGTTTCCCCAGGACCGGCATCACACATGAGCACTGCGGGCGCACACGCAGAGATTCGCATGTGTGCGCAGGCGACGGCGTCCCTGTCGTCGCTTATCGGAGTCAGGGCCAGCTCCCGAGCGAGCCTTATCGGGCCCACACTCGAGTCCGTATCGCGACGCACTGCCAGATAGAAGGCTGTCTCGAGCATCGTCCGCACGACCGACGAGCCATGGAGCGGGCCCGGGCGTCTCCCGAACCGTCGCGGATCCCCGTGTTTCGAAGCGGGCAGGACAGCGGACCGTGGCAGCTGCTCGAGTCCAAGCTAAAGCGACTCGACGAGCAGCAGCCGGCAAAGCCGGACCCGTACGCGCGGCTGCTGGCCGGCATCTGCAAGGACAGCGTGCTCCTCCTCAAGCAGCTACAGACCAGCGCGGACAGCCTGCGGACCGAGAGCGCCGGGCTCAAGCAGCAGCTCAGGAAGGCGCAGCAGCGGATCGACGAGCTCGGCGCAGCGGACACTCAACTGCGGGACCTACGCGCCGACTTGGCGCGGCTCGACGCCAGGAGCGACGCGTCTTTCGAGGAGCTACGCGGCCAACTGCGCGCCCTGGGAGACAAGCAGAGCGAGCAGGCCCGCATGTTGGACCGGATTCCCGACGCCCAAGAGCTGAGCCGGCAAGTCCGCCATGACGTGGCTGCTGACCGAGACTCGGCGCTTTCCCGACTCGAAGCGGAGCTGGAGAAGACGTCCAGCGAGACCGGGAAGCAGGCGGAGGAGCTGCGGACGGAGCTGCGCATGCTGGCGGACCGGCTGGTCCCTCTGGAGTCCCTGCACCAGGTGGCCGAGGTCCGGCAGCAACTTCTGGACGAGGCCGAGCTGGCAGGCGCGCAGCGAAGCTTTCAAGAGCTGCAGCTGCTCCGCGGCGTGCGGGAGGCCCCCTTCCGCTGGCAGCTGGCAGGCTACCAGAGACTCCGCGAGCAGGCGCGTCGTGAGGGCCAACTACGCTTGTACAGTCGGCCGTTCGGCATCGAGCGGGAGGGAGCCGTCCGCTGTGTGCTCCGGCTGGCAGCGAGCGTCGGGGTACCGGCGGGCCAAGAGGGGGGCGACGCCGTTCAGATCGGGCTCGAGCTGCTCCACTCGGCCAAGCTGAGCAAGAAGTTCGACTTCTGCCTGCGGCTGCTGGACCGCTCCGGTCAGGACAGGCACCTGGTGAAGACCTTCTCGTCGTCCGAGCTGATCGTGCCTCGCTACTGGTTCTCTCGGCCGGCATCGGGGCTGGTCAGCTTCGCGCTGCTCGTCTCCGAACAGAGGTTGCTCAGGGAGGGACTGCTCTTCAAGGACACGCTTTCCGTCGAGGTGGGCATTTTGTGAAGAACAATAAACGAATGAATACCTTCCTTTCTGAGACTCAACCGCGCCCCTCCAATGCGTCCCGCGTGCCGGAGCGTTTCTGCTGTGGCGCGCGCTGCACGTGGCCCCTTCAATCGAACACGTCCTCCAAAGTAAGTTGGTCGAGCGTTCCAAATAGCGTGCGATGGAGCCCGAAGATTGTGGAGCGGGTCGCGCAAGGGGACGATCTCGAGGTCGTCGGAAGTTGCTGGCCGGCTCCCTGGGCGACCACGAGTCGCAGCGGAGGCCTGGCGGCCTCACCCAGCAACTGCGGCAGCTGTCGTTGGAGCCTTCGGGACCATTCGAGTCGGGCGACTCAAGCCCCGAGACCGACGTCACCGGGTGCGGCCGAGGCGCTCGCCGGAAGCCTCGCAACGAGTTGTCGATGCTGGCGACCCGACCGATCCACGTAACTGACAAGACCGGCACCACGGGCCGTCCAATCAGGTTGGTGGCCAACTACTTCCGGCTGCTGTCGTTGCCTCAGTGCTGCGTGCACCAGTACCACGTAGACTTTGTCCCGAGCGTCGAGTCGAGCAGAATGCGGCGTGCCTTAGTAGGCGACCACCGCGAACAGTTCGGCCGTTGCTACGTGTTCGATGGGATGTCTGACCTGAAGACGCCGAGCCGGCTAGAGCAGGAGGTGACGGAGCTGTGGTCACGGAGGCGTAGCGACGGAGAACAGGTATGCATTCGCGTTAAAAGGGTCCAGGAGCTGGCGCCAAACAACCCGGACCTGCTGCGACTCTTCAACACGCAGATGCGCCGAAACCTGGAGCACCTAGACTTTGTGCAAATCAATCGGCACTACTTTGACAAGCGGGCTGTGTCTGCCATTCCCCAGCATGGACTCGAACTTTGGCAGGGCCTTGTGACGGCCATTGGGCAGCATGAGACCGGAGTTATGATGGTAACAGACACGGTCCACAAGGTGCTGCGCCGCGACACTGTCCTCGACTTGCTCATACAGATCTCGGCGACAGCGCCCACGGGCTACCGCGAGGAAGCCATCCGCCGCGTGGCCGGGGCTATCGTCATGACGCCGTACAACAACAAGACGTACCGCGTGGACGACATCGACTGGGACCAGAACCCACAATGCAGCTTCGACACCAAGGAGGGACCCAAGACGTACGTGCAGTACTACCGCGCCCAGTACGAGAAGCGCATTCGAGACCCGAACCAGCCGCTGCTCGTGTGCCGACCGCGCGAGAAAGACTTGCGGGTCGGACGTACGCACAACATCTACCTGGTGCCTGAGCTCTGCGTGCTCACGGGACTCACGGACGAAATGCGCGCCAACGTGGCCGTCATGCGGGACTTGGCCCAGCACACCCGCGTCGAGCCGCCGCGTCGCGTCCGCAACTTGCTCGACTTCATCGGGCGCGTCAACGGCGACTCCAGCGTGAGCCACGAGATGCACCAGTGGGGGCTGCAGTTCGACGGCCAGCTGGTGAGCATCGACGCCCGCGTTATGCCGCCCGAGTGGGTCATCCAGGGCACCCAGAACTACCGGTACGGCGCCAACACGGCCGACTTCTCGCGCGAGATGCGCGACAAGCGAATGCACGTGGCCATCAAGCTCGACTCCTGGATTGTCATCTGCCCTAAGAGGGACGAGCAGAATTGCGCAGAGTTCGTGCGCAGCCTAATGAGTGTCTGCCCTCCCATGGGTCTGCGGGTCACCGAGCCGCGTCTGCTCGAGCTGGAAGACGACCGGGCCGGCAGCTACGTCCGCGCGCTTCAGCAGCTCAGCGGCCTGCAGCTGGCTCTTGTGATCCTGCCCAACAACCGGAAAGACCGCTATGACATGATCAAGAAGCACGCGTGCGTTGACCTGGGCCTGCAGACGCAGGTGCTGCTCAGCCGGACCATCGGGAACCGAAAGAACGTGCGCTCGGTGGCCACCAAGGTGGCAATCCAGCTCAACTGCAAGCTGGGCGGACAGGCCTGGTGCCTTGAGATCCCGCTGGCGTCCACCATGGTCATCGGCTACGACACGTACCACGACTCAAGTCAGCGCGGCCGCTCGGCGGGGGCCTTTGTGGCCAGCCTGAACAGGACCTTCACGCGCTGGTTCTCCCGGGCGTCCTTCCACGCCAGCCACCAGGAGCTGGGCAACTCGCTGGCCATCCATCTCCAGGACGCTCTCAGGCAGTACGGCTGCGAGAACGGCGGCGCCGTGCCCGAGCGCATCCTCTTCTTCCGAGACGGTGTCTCGGACGGCCAGATTCCCCAGGTCCGCGAGTGGGAGATCAATCAGATCGTGGCGTCGCTGGACGCGCTCTTCCCGGGCAAGGATCACAAGCTGGCGTTCGTGGTGGTCACCAAGCGCATCTCGACGCGCCTGTTTGCCGTGACCAGCTCGGGCGGCTACGCCAACCCCCCGCCGGGCACCGTGGTCGACTCGGAGGTGACACGGCCCGAGCGCTACGACTTCTTCCTGGTGTCGCAAAGCGTGCGCCAGGGGACAGTGGCGCCCACGCACTACAACGTCATCTACGACACCACGGGCCTGAAGCCCGACCACATGCAGCGGCTCTCGTACAAGCTGACGCACCTGTACTTCAACTGGCCGGGCACCATTCGGGTGCCCGCGCCCTGCCAGTACGCACACAAGCTGGCTTTCCTCGCAGGCCAGTCGTTGCACACGGAGCACCACGTCCAGCTAGCCAACACTCTTTTCTACCTGTGAAATAAAAGCCCTTTGTCTCAGCCAGACTTCTACGTAATCCGTTACAAGTAACGAAATTACTTGTAATCCCTCAGATTTGTCAGTAATTTAGTAACGGAATAATTACATATTTTCTAGAGTAATTGTAAAGTAATTGCCTTACATTTTTTGCGTAACAGATTCCTTGCAATCCGTTATTTCCCCCCTCCTTTCTAAAGAAAGGGTCGTTTTTATTTTGGTGAAGTGGAGCGGGGTGACACTGTCACGCGAAATGACCAGCGCAAAGGGAGGCTTGGCCTTCTTCAGTTCCGCAAAGCCTTTTTTTTGCAACACCAAGACCCTGAATGTATTTTTTTTTAGAAATGTAGAAATGCCAGTTTTTAGAAAAAACTGGCATTTCTACAACAAAAAGAAAAAAAAAGGGGGGGGGGGGCAAGTTATATCTGCTTTCTTTAGTTCCTTTGTTGTTTTTTTTGCGATCGAAGACGGGGAGAGGAGGGCGCCAAGTGATTGTGTGTTTCTTCGAGAAGCTCGAGGCGGTAAGTGAACAGACAAGAATTAACAATGTCCTTCTCGGTTATAGTGACTACGGCCATTTTTATAATGTCACAAAACGAGACAACGCTCCGTCTTCCCTAAAATCCACTAAAGGAGATGTGATAATATGTAACGGTGTTATTGCCACAAGCATCCTCGTTCGTTGCTGCACATTTAGCATCTTCTCTTAGAAAGCAGAATGTATTTTTTTTCTGCTTCTTTTACCTTATTTGACCCTGTTTTAAAAGCTACTTACTTTTTTGTAGTCCAACTTCTAGGGTTGCTCCACTTTATTTGGGAATTCCAGCCAGGTTATCTGCCTCTCAGTCACCCCTTTTGTGAGTCAGCTTGTTGCGAGCCCTTCGAGAATGGTAAGTCTTCCTTCCTTCTTCCTGTTTCTACCCCAGCAGGACGCATCTTATCTCTAGCAGATATTTTTAAAAATAAAACCCGATGGTTGCTGACGTACACGTGATATTCTGGGCTTGAGGAGAGAGTGAAACTCGTGAGTGGGCAATAGCGCGGCTTACTTAGTACTCTGCCCTTCGCTGCCCGTGACGTCAGCGGACGTCTATCTGGAGAACACCGGAGTAAACTGCCGTCGGTAAGTGGTCCGTGCATTTTTGAATGGCCCCAAGAAAGGTATACACGACAAACGTGCATTTACATTTCCTTATTTTAACCGACGTTTTAATTATTTGTTGTTAAAACTGTCTCTTTTCGATTACTTATATTCATATACTAGAAACTTTTTTTTTTATTCACCAATGTCTCAACCGCGGCTCGACCTGTTCAGAACCAAAGGAAGAAGAATATCGAGCCAAATCTTATTTTGTTATTTAATTATCACCTTACTGTTACAACAATGTTTTGCTATTGTCTGGCAATATATGACGGTATTGCAAGATGTTCATACATCAGTTCTTATTCTAGTTTTGGCTCGATGTATGATGACTTCTACAGCTTCACGATTTTGACAATGGAGAATTTCAGTAGATCGGTCCGATGACTCCGATAGCGATTCCCGATACTTTGCCACCGCCTTTGCGCATGCGTTATATCGTTATCGGGTATCGTTATCGGGAGTATTAAAGGTATCAGAACGATCTACTAAAACTCTCGAATATCAGGCAACGGCTGCAACGAGGAAGCTTGGCTCTATCTTTGAGGTAAATAGTACTTCCATTGCTTCGCTGAAGAGGCTCAATGCTCAGCATAAAACATTCGTGAGGCACACTATGGCACTCCCATCCAGTGCCTCAGTTCAAAGGGTGTTCAGCGTAGCAGTCGACATCTTCAGTAAGAAATAACGCAAAATGTCTCACGAGATTTTCGAGAGCCAGCTGTTCCTCAACACAATCAAGGTCAATAAATGGAAAAGGTGGCAACATTAACAACTTGAATAGTCTTCTCCTGTTTGTTTCTTACTTGAGGACAATGATGTTAAAAGTAACGCAACGAAAGTAACGGATTACTTTTTGTGGTAACGGTCGCTTACTTTTATAGGAGAGTAGTTGTAATTGTAATAAATTACAATTTAGCCTCGAGTAATTGTAAATGTAATTTCTTACTATTTTTCAGTAACGTGTGCAAGTCTGGTCTCAGCGTCCGAAATCGGGAAGGTTCCTCTGCTTACCTCTCATAAGCTAGAACACGAATTATGAAGTAGGCAGCACCGTTTTCTTGCGTCACATTACGAAAGCTTACGTCTGCTTACGACGAGATCAAGGGCGAGTTCCCATGGCGCCCAAGCGACACAAAGCTCGTAGTAACGTAAATGGGCATTCACACCAGGGA